TACCACGGTAAAAAGAATCATTTATGAGTATGATGGCCAACCATAGTCAAGTCTTTGTTTTACACATCCAAATAACCAAATCTACATAAACAATTCTCCTCTGTAAAATTAAACCAGCAAACATTGAATGAATATTTATATGTTTTCCTAACTCTCTACGTAGATATTGCGCCCAGGCATGCCGACTGAAAGGAGCTGGCGGGGGTCAGGCATGACGTACAAGCAAAGGGACAGCAAGACTACTGAACACAGCTCCAGTAATAGGGTTAGGGTGGCATCCTGGGCAGAAACGCAATTAATGCGTCTGATGAAATTTCTTATTTATATTGGCACACGTAAGTACGTCATTATATCGCACTCAGTTCCTTATTCTAATCAAGATTACGCTGCATATCATGCGGGATGCGAAATAAGACAAACATTTACCGACCGGGTTAAGAATATTCATACCGATAAACTTAAACGGTGCGTTGGAACGCGTGGTACGCGCCTGCTGATCACAGCATTATATGCTTACACTTGTATAGGCAACCGCACCCATGTTTACAGCGACCTCTCGTCTTGGCTGTGTGAGTGTAGAGTAGTGTCCTTCTGCGCAGCCACGATCTGTTGTCGACGAAATACAACACGCCGTCATCCCAGAAGCATTACACTAACCGGTCGTTTCTGAATGCGAAATTTTTCGGATATATTGTTTTTTTTTGGTTAGTTGGACGTGTTTTTTGCGCATACGCTGGAGGGGCAAAAGACACGTACAATAGTCCGTGAACGGACAAGTTCGTTGACTATTTTTTCATCGATAGCGAGATGACTGTACGGGTGATGTGTGCACCTTAAATGCTCGGCTCACAGATGTAAATAATGATACTAACAGGCTGATAAAGTCTGTTGAAAAGACGAAACCAGACGGCTATTAGGAAAAGCTCCGCGCTCAGTTTACTCTCGCGATATTTGTGCGCTATTGAGACTTGGATCGACCAGATACATACGGCCTCTACGTCAAAACATTCAGACATTTCCGAAGAATTGTATAACAATGGCAGCAGTGAAACTAGTTGCGGTGTGTGTCTTGTGCGCAGCTTTAGCGGCGGTGAGGACGCAGTTCCTGCAGCATCCATGTGACACGGAGGCAGTTGAAGGATCTAATATTACCATGTTCTGTGAGCTTAATCTGACGCTTGATAGTAGCGATGAAGGTCAACCATGGGTGGACTGGTATCGTGACGGTTACCAGATTTCAATCGAGAATGAAGACAGATACAACTACATCGATGGTAATAATTCGGACACGGGGAATTTTAGCATACAAATATCAAACTTACAAGTTGATAAAGATGATGCAGCGTTCTAGCAGCAATATGAAATAGAACCTGAGAATAGCTCTGATTCTAACACGGGTCGGGTAATTGTGCTTGTGTCACCACAGGCAGTTGATATGTTTCCGATCCCTTCACCACCGGATGGAAAGCTACAGTTTTTCTGTGTATCACACAGCAGCCAGCTGCCAGCGTTACGTGGTGGCTGAACGATGAAGACATCACCATTCACGCAAAGCAAACACACGAGCCAGGTTTAACAAACAAGACATTCACAACTGAGAGCACGCTGCGGTACAGGGTTTCATCAGAGCATAATCACAAAGAACTTCTCTGTCGAATTTTCATCCACGAGTACTTACCTGTAGAGGGAATAACCAAGACCCTGTACCTGAGAGACACTGTGACCATCAGCAGCAGCAGCAACCCTACTGGCAATGACGTGTCTATCTCGCAAAACACGAACCTGACGTTACACTGCAATGCAGATGGCTATCCAGAACCAACATACGCATGGTTCCACAACCTCAATCGGATTCGCGTCTTGGGAAACACGTTGGTCATCGAGCAAGTTGCGCTTGACGACAGAGGATTCTACTCATGTCAGGCGAATAGTGCAGTTGGGAAATACATGTCGAGCAACATGATGAATGTGAGCGTCGCAGTTCCAGCTGCATACGCCTCGATGACGGTAGACCATTTCGTTGCTCATGGCGCGGTGACGATAATCTCAGGACTGCACGGCGTTATGTGTTTTACACGTAAAAGCTTTCCCGGCGGAAAGGTAACCTGGCGACTCGGTGACAGAGAGGTGAAAACGGCGATTACTTTGCATATCTATAACGACGACGGAACTATAGCGACGTACAGCACACTGACGGACATATTCACCAGTGCTGACGACGGCGAAACGCTAACCTGCCACGTTGACATCCACGAATTATTTCAGCCGCTGTCGGTCGAGCTGCAGCTTGATGTTCAGTACATGGGTGAAGTGAGAGTGAGCGGCGGCGATGAGAGGGGTAACGTAACTCTCGAGCCCGGCAACCCGCTGCGGCTGCTCTGCACTGCGAACGGAAACCCAGCGCCATATTTCTCCTGGCTGCACAATAAGACGCTGGCCGTTGGAAACGGTAGCAGTAGCTACGAGAAAGAATCGGTAGGCTTTGACGACACGGGCGTCTACGAGTGCGCGGCTCGAAACAACGCCGGTGTTTTTATTTCGAATGAAGTGGCTGTGTCCGTCATTGCGTCGGATAGCCTGGATATTGGCCGCATCATAGCCTACGTCATATTCAGCTTATTTATCCTTATTGCCCTCATCGACGTTGTCGCCATTTGCATGCGAAAGAGAGCCAAGGCACGGGCAAGTACTGAGCCAGAAGAGGGTACCACGGACGACGATAACAGCATTGTAATCGCCTAAGTAAGTGTCGCCTAAGAAAAAAAAATTAAGAAAAACGTCAAGGCGAAAACAACTGACGCTGTAGTATGACTGGTATATGTCACGGGGAGCCTGCGGATCTCTTATCGGGCGGATTTTGATGAAATTTTTTGGACAAGTTGGTCTTGGGCCAAGAACCAGTCGATTAGAGATTTCGGTGGTGATCCGAATCCGGACCTAGATTCAGGATTTTTTGGTGGGGGGGGGAAGACTTCGGACGCATTCAAAATTCATCAAAAAAAATTCTGGATCTTTTTTCAAATTTCTGAATATTCCATCAAACTATATATTGGGTGTACCAGCAGGATGCATGGGGGACTGTTACGATGTGGCGGAGGTTTGCTATCTCCGATTGCTCTTGTATTATGATATTGTATCGAAGTTCTACCGTTATATTGTGATGAAATTATAGTTATTATATTGTGTGGCAAGGTTAATGCATATGTCGCCATTTTGAAGTGATTTCCTGGAGCAAAGAGAAGCAGTACAACAAGCAGATTTTTCGTGAGAAATTATAATGAGGCAAATATTCCTCAGTGCATATAATCGCTACATTCATGCTGAGAAACGTGTTATTTAGTGGAACCGCGCTCTTCAGATATAGCTTGTATAATTGTAACAACAGCGAAATATTATATGTACACATGTATGTTTGATAAATGAATAGGCCTAGGTACGCGTGCGTGCGTATACGTCTCTCTGTGCGCGTGTGTGATTATGTATGTGTGAGCGCGCGCGCGTGTGTGTGAGTGCATGCGTGCGCGTGTGTGTGTGTGTATGTGTGTGTGTGTTTGTTTTATTGCATATCATATAATTAAACACATGGTGATAAGAATATGTGAGTACACGTGTATGCATTGCTATTTTCCTGTTCGACTCTGATCCAGGGCAAGACACCACATTAAGTGGCAAGAAGAACAGAATGTTATACTATCACTACTACTACTATGGTGGGGGAAAACAAGGAGTGTTTACACGAAAAGCGATAACGCGATAAATAGAATATAATAATCAACGCGGTTATGTACAAGTGGTCAACTTAATATATGAGGAGATTTGAATAGAATGAATAGTCTAAGTTGTCGAAGAGAGGAATATTTACTTAGAAACGAGTTGCATAAGATGATGCAATTATCGTACCAGCCACGGGTTGCATCAGCAGGTGAAAGCGATTGCACGGGCGAACAAAATCTGCGTGTGTTTTGGCAACGCGTGCTAAACAACTAGGACACGCGTTAACTGTGTAACGCCTGTCGTACCGTAGTCGGTTACCTCTAGGGCCACTACAATGATAATTATTATGACTTTGGGATTGCACTGACGGTAAGGTGCTTGTAAGCTCAGGCTATCATTTTCACTAATGTACTTATGCGTGTTTTACTGTATATATATATACCGAGAGAGAGAGAGAGAGAGAGAGAGAGAGCGAGAGGGAGACATTCGGCGCAATAATATAATATATATATATACAGATCTTTCCGCGCTCTTTCTCTCTTTCCCTCTGTCCGCGCTCTCTCTCGCTTTTTACCTTTATCTCATTACCTATATCTTTCTCTCTCGTTCGCGCTGTCTCTCTTCCTCTGCTGGTTGTTATCCCTCGTGCTCAGCCCTCAACTGCATGGCTATAATAGCTCTAATGTTTTTCTTGATTTCTTTCAGCCCTTCAAACTATTAGATATACTGTCCAGAGCGACACAAGCAAACCTTCTTTTGTCCTCGTAGTAAATCCGCATAGAAATATTACGTTGAACTACGAGTGACTCATATGAGCAACAAGAGCATTCGGAAGTAGCAAAGCTCCGCCACAGCTTAAGAGCCCCCCCCATCTTGCTGGTACAAAAAAATAAAAATAAATATAAATTTGGCATAGTTTAATCTGGTATTAACAAAGTTTTGGTTTTTGTCCGCTAGATGGCTACATTCTCGGGAATTCGGCTATTCTACTTTTCTGACATCACCCCACTGCTAAAATTATCGCCCTTATTAAGGCCAATTTATCGTTATTATATCTACAAATATGGGTGGATTTTACAAATATGGATAAGCCTGTGTTGGTGTCCGACACACGGGCTATACACTGAGATCGGTGGCGTGGGCTTGATGCTCATCCCGGCGAAGAGGACGGGTCAGAAAGTCGGCCTCTCCTCTCTTATAATATAGATACTGAGGGATGTATATCATTTATGAGAGTAGTATATGAGGGTGTATATGTGAAGGTAACTTTACTCGTTATACGGGAGCCTAACAGGTGTGTAAATACACACAGGGTCCGATTTTCTCTCCCAGACTCGATCACTCTCTCTCTCTCTCTCTCTCTCTCTCTCTCTCTCTCTCTCTCTCTCTCTCTTGATGTGTCTCTCTTCACTATCGTTCTCTTGTTTATACCCCCAGCTTGGCTGGTTTATTATCATTGGTCAACTATGTCACGGCTATATACACACATATTCGCATGTACACGTATTTGTTCGCATGTGACATGACGTCACTGCGTTACAATATAGACATAAATATAACACGCATAATTATGGCTGAACGAATGTGTATATAGGTGCATGAGTTTTTATGTGATGCCTTGTCACACATAATTTAGCAGCAAATAAATTATTGTTACCGCGGTTAAATTATTACTTTTTCCCAACGAAAAGCCGTCTTACATATGACTATATCGTATCAACAGCTGATTATAAGGTACAGGCGCGTTGTTTCACATCAAATGAGATTT